TCTGGGCGAAATTTTCGTCCGTTTGGCTCTATCTTTAACCGTTTAGGCGCCACAGGGAGTTTTTCGAGAAAATAAGCGAAAAATGTACAACCCTGCATGTATAGTCGAAGTGACGGGAAGTTGATGGGCCGGAGGCCCGTATCTTTGTGTTCATTTTTGCGTTGCCCTACTCGGGTGTCAGCGCCGCAGGCCTAGGTAGATGTATGCCAGGCGCGTCGCAGCGCAACAGTGTTTCGTGAGATATCGCGAAGCCTGTTACGCGAGACGTGGTCTGGCGTACATCTACCTAGTAATGTTAACTTACTTGGCAGAGAAGTACAGTGGTACAGCCGAGGTGGTCTGCTGAGGGGTCGATGTGTACACTTCTAACTGGATGATGCGAATGAGAGCGAGCGTAGGGCTCCAGGACCGGACCTGGGGCCCTGCCGGCGCACCGCTCCGTCGAGCGCGCCGAGCCGAGCCCCGCCCGAGGGGTGCCGAGACACGCCTCGGGCGCCGCTACTGCATCGCTCGCGGTCGAACGTGAGACTCCAGCGACAAAACGCGCGCGCGGGGTATTGACACGTCCGCGTGGCAAAGAAAGTGATTTTACGGTTAATTTAAGTTAGTTACACTGCGTTGTTGGCTTGCCAACATTCCTCCCCACTCAGTGGAACACGCTAGTGTTAAAAAAAGGCAAAACAAATTCGAGAATATTCAGTGGGTTTTGAAATTTACTGATTCTACCTTTTAAGTTTGGAGTTCTCACGTTCTGTCCCTGAGTTACCGAACTGACTTTACTGAATTTACTGAGTTTACTGAGTTTAACAAAAGATTGAATAATTTTTACACTTGAAATGAATTACAATTGCAAGATAATGAAATTAATGAGAAAAATTGAAGATTCAACAAGGCACAAAATATACTGAAAATCACAAGTCGCAAACGACTAAGAAACAAAAACAAAGAACAAACTGAATATGAAAGCAAAGCTAACCCTAACTGGGATACAATGATGGACCAACCTCGGCTGCGAAACAAATACATTATTACAGTAACACCGTGATAGCATTTTTATTTGACGTTTTTAAATCAAAACTGGCAAGGACAAAATATTTTCATACAATAAATCAAAATGATTTTAAAACAAATCAAAATAGTTTCAAAAGTTCAACAGCAAGAACAAATAAATTGGTAAACAATACAATTAATAACAGCAAGTAATTTCAATTACAACATAAGTAGAACACCGCTCAAACAGGCAGACGCCGTCGCCCCTCTCGCATACCCCTTTCAAAAGTTCTCTGTACCCTCGCTGTTTCTTCACACCCCTACGCCGCGCGCCCAGCGCTTCTTGAGGCGTACCCTGAACGCTTCCCTCTTGACTGTGACAACCACGGACTTGGATTGATGAAAAGGTTGCTGGGACCGGCGCTCCGTGGTTCAGCCGTGGCGGGGCCCCGCGTGGCTACCACTTATGGACTGGATAGCCGCTCGGATTGATGGCGTCGAGCTCCCACGCTGCGGGGTCCTGCCGTGGCTGAGGGAGGCGGGCCGCCATTGGCGCGGGCCCGCACTGGTCCAGCTCGAAGGAGACGCCGCCTGAGTTTCTTGACGGCGCGACAACGGGGTGACTCTGTGAACAGTTTCGAAAGGCAGATCAGTCCGGGTATGGAGCAGGCGACCGCGCCCATCCGATTGGGCAATGGTCAGGAAAATAC